GTGATAACAACCGAAAGGAAAAGTTACGAGAGGAGAAGATACACAAGAATTAGACAGTCCTACCTATGGGAATAGAACTTTCTTCCTCCAAGTAAAAATTGATAGTAAATATCTGTTTCACGGGGACATTTTCAATACTGAATGTCTGATTTCATTTTGCGAAACCACAAAAGCAAGAGGAGGAAGACTGCTTTTCAAGAATTGTGGTATTATTTTCTCAGTAAGCTATTTCCAGGAACAACACTAAAGGAAGAAGCCTTCCTCTTTAAAAGGGAGAGGTAACATCCCTGCTCCAATTTTATCCACAGACCTGACAAAGTCTGGGGACCTTGCTAAGCACGGCACAGTCACCGACGTGGGAGCAACCCTGAATGAACCTGCCTGTGACACACTGGACGTGGCCGCGGGCATCCAAAACAGAACGACACGGGAGGTGTTTGAGAACTGCTGCTCCATGCCCTCTCCAGCAGAAAATGGAAGATTTGCAGGACGCAAGACTCCTCCATGTGGAGCCAACTGAAGGCTAAGAATGTTACCTTCCAGTTGGAGTGCGACCCCAAGGAGAATGGCAGTCATTTCTGGTGCTTTTATAAACTCTCCTCCGTTCACTCCTCACCACGCCAGCCAGACGGCCACTCATCTCTGAACCCACCCAGAGATCCTCGCGCATCGTACTCAAACAGCTTAAGCCTCTGTGGCCACAGACTGATGACTTCCTCTGCAAGCCTATAGATCTTGCATCTACTCAGGGAGCATCTGTAATCCGGTTCACTTGTCTTGGAGCCGGTTTGCACTTGTGCGGAGAGCAGTGGCCAAGACGAAGGTGCCCGGTGACCCCAGGGTGCAGGTGGGCACTGAGAGCACCATGGCCGTCTCGTCCCCGCCCGGTCCCCTGCCGAGTGTGGACACTGCAGACAGCCCCACCCTGACATCACAGAGCCCAGCCCCGCGCACGGCATCTCCACGTTGACACTGAGGCCCCGTGACTCTGGGTCTGCCACCCAGGTCCCAGCTTCCGTTTCCAGGCTGTGTGAACACAGCTTGAACGTGCAATCAGCTCCTGCACCACATTCAGCTGCCTGGAGGAGCACTTTATGAAGACACTCAGAAGCAGTTATTTGCCTCTTAAGAAAATTATATCCTGCACAGTGGCATCTCTGAGCCTCCCCCACAGAGGGAGGAGAGAGAGATGATTCAAATGAGGAATGGTCTCAGGTGGGAATGACTGAGCTGGCGTCCCAGAGAGTCAGGTCTGCGGTTGGTACCATGGGGACCACGGATCGGAGCCATCCTGCTCAGCCTTCCTTTCCTCTCCGGGGCTACTCAGACGGGTGAGACCACCATCTTCACGTCACCACGACTGGCATGTCAAAAGCAACTTTATGCTTGTTTTGGCTTTCCAGCTTTATTGGGATAATTAAAACATTACCATCAGATACTTGGCAAATTCAGAGCTCTGTCACCTTAATTGTATATTGTGTGTGATTACAGTTAAAGAGAATATAATTACTTGGAAGCAAAAACCTTTTTTTCTGTTTTTACAAGAAGCTGAATATAGTTCCCTGTGCTAGATAGTACAGGTAGAGGTCCTTGTTGTTTATCTATTTTAAATATAGTAATGTGTGATTTTATATATAAGATCATGGAAAAGAACCTTAAAATATATACATATGTATATGTATGTGTATAATAGAATCACTCTGCTGTACACTTGGAAATAACACTGTAAATCAACTACACATCAATTAAAACAATAAACCTTATTTCTGATCAGAGTGAAAAAAGTACACTTAAACATTCATTTATTCATGCACAAGTATTTATTGAGCACCTACTGTGTACCAGCACAGAGTAGGGGGCGGGCAGGGAGGGGTTCCCTGAACACAGTGAAAAGATCCCCGTCCTCATCTGTTGGCCAACAAATTAATTTCCGCAGCCTGAATGAACCTGGGTTGTTAGACATGGGGAGGGGGGTTGGAGAGAGAAAATGCAGATACAGATAGAAGGGGCTGATGAATTTGGCTCCAGTCTCACCCATGATGTTCAGACAGAGCCAACAGTGATTCAGCTTTGAGGGACAGCAAGTCCCTGTCCTTAGGACGGTTTGAGTGAAGAGATGGACTGCTCCCTCGTGAGAACCCGGCTGCCCAGAAAGCCAGCCCAGAGGACACATTTCCACAAGCACGTGCACCTGCAGGCTCCCAGCAGAGGAAGCCGGCTGCTCCGCTCTCGCTCCCTCCTGGGGGTTCCGAGCCCTAGTCCTTGTCTGGAAGCGCTTGGCTCCGTCCGGCTCACGGAGAGAACAAGTTACTGCTTGTGCAGAAAGGCTCTCCAACCCTTAACGGCCCCTGGGTAAGTCACATTATAACCCCTGGCTCTAAAGACCGAGGCACAGTGAGGTCCGAGCGCTGCTTCCTTCTGGAGCAGAACCTGGGCGCGCACTGGGGTTCTCTCCCGTGGCGGTGTCTGCGTGCTCCCCCCGAGTGCTCGTGCCTGCTGCGGGCCCCATGCCACCCGGGGCGGAGGCGTCTGCGCGTCCCAGGGGTTCTCAGGTGCTGGTGGGCATCAGAATCACCTGGGGGCATCTTAAACCACACCGGCGGGCTCGATGCCCAGGGTTCTTTGGTTCTGTTTTCGGTAGGCTTGAGTAAGCCCACAAGTTGCATTTCGAGTAAGTCCTCAGGTGATGCTGACGCTTCTGGTCCGGGGCCACATTTAAAGAACCACTGCTCTAAGGCCCCAGCCTCCTTCCACAAGAGGGAGCGCTCTCTCCACCCCAGTGCTTGTTAAACAATGACGCAGAGGCTCCTACCAGACGTGGACACCCGAGACGTTACCTCCTGTGAATCATGCCAGGCCCCCCGACACTGGCCCTGCCAACAACACGGGGCTGCACATCCTCTCAAGCACATGACCAATTCAGACCTGATGACAGTCAGAAGCTATTTAAAACCCACCTCCTCGCACGGCTCTCCACAACTCACCAGACACTACTCTCTCGTTCCCACCAGGTCTTACCTCTTTCGCTTTCTTCTTCTCTAACTGGGAATGTCTTTCCAGGTGTC